TTTTAAATCTGGGGTCAATGCAAACTTGAGCTAAAACTTGAAGGATCAAATATCAAAACTAAAAGTTTTGGTGTATTCTCATTCTCCAAACCAAAACCCCCCCTCTGACTGAGGACATTACAATCAGCCGTTTCATTCTTCAGGTCGTCGTCTTCTCTCACTGTATGCGTTTGCGCTTTTCTGTAAATACATTCATTGATGCTTTTATTTTATTTTTTAATGTTCATGGGTTTTTCATAAATCTATTTACAGTAGGAAACGATTATTTTTCAGGGAATTCCGGGTTCATGAACTCGAAATAATGAGTTTATATACGTAGGTACATACAAATCGCTCCTTCATTTTTGGGATTCATTTGAATTCACGAAGCAATTAGGGTTTTGTTTTATTTTTTCCTTTCTGAAGTCGATTCTCATAACTACTGCGGCACTTGTAGTAAAAGCAAGAAAAGTAAACAACAATGGATTGGTGAAATTTAAATTTATTTAGGTAACCCATTAGCCATTGAATCTGTTGGATCTAAGAATGCTTTAATTATTTTATTTTATATTATTTAATAAAGAGCTGAATCTTTGGCGGCCGAGAATATATGTAACTGTATAGACACTATATTCTTTAATGAGTGTTACAACTTCAGTACTTTGGGTTTATTGTTTTTCTTTATTTCTTGCAGTTGAGAATAAAAGAGACAAAAGAAAATGATAAAAAGGAGATTTTACAGGCTTGAACATGGTAACAGGGATGCTCCCTCTGATTCATCATCTTCTTCTTCTGACTCCGAAGTAGAGGCAGAGGTTCAGGCAACAGAGGAAACAGAAGATGAAGAAGAAAATGAGGTTGCAGAATTGAGAGAGAACGATCAAGCTTCCTCTTCTTCTGGTATTTATATATCAGTAGTTATGCAATTTTCTTGCCATTTTTTGTCAAAATTTTGGGAATTTTGTGTTTTTTATATTTCTTCAGATGAAACTTCAAGTTAGCTTCTTTATGTAAATTATTGAATTTCTGCTTTTTAAAATTAATTCATAATTACTCATCTAGTAGTGAAAATCTGTTTCTTGGTAGTATTCCATAATTAGTGTTGTACTGCATGTTTCTTGATTACATAATTTTTCTTGCCAATTGTTGAAAATCGGATTGGTCAGTTTTTGAATTTCCACATGACTTAATTCATATATTATATTTACAGCGAATTCATTTGTCTTCTCTTTGTCTTTCAGGATATGAAAGTGAGCATAGTTCAGTAAATGAAGTTAATCTTGATTCATCAGGTATTTAACTTTGCTCTTTGAAAGATTCAGTTTTTGGGATATTTATCGAATCTGGGTTTATAATCTACACTTCACATGAGAGTAAATTTACGATTGGTAAATACACTAATGCAAATTTGTTTGGCATGAATGAAATGGCCATTTCTTGATTTTTGTGTTCTGGTTTTATAACATTAGTCTGCTGTGCTCTTTCTTTGCACTATCTTCATTACACGTGCAGAGTTTTGAACACTGAGATACTTCAAACGGTATTGTTTTTGCTTTTTGTGTATTTACCGTGAATGCTACTTATGTGAGGGTTGAAAAGCTTAATTTGTATTTCTGTTCTCATCTCATGATGAAAACAACACTATACACATCAAATCCAAAATAGCCTAACTCCTGGTCAAGAAAGTTCCGACAGTCGATCTAAAAATCAGTTAACTGTCCAATCCTTCTCTATTAAACTTGGTTCCTGTCCTTTTTGACTTCTTTGTCTAGGGTTAATAGAGCTCTTTAGTCACTAGTACCGTGAATGCTACTTATGTGAGGGTTGAAAAGCTTAATTTGTATTTCTGTTCTCATCTCATGATGAAAACAACACTATACACATCAAATCCAAAATAGCCTAACTCCTGGTCAAGAAAGTTCCGACAGTCGATCTAAAAATCAGTTAACTGTCCAATCCTTCTCTATTAAACTTGGTTCCTGTCCTTTTTGACTTCTTTGTCTAGGGTTAATAGAGCTCTTTAGTCACTAAAGCTCGAGTAACTTTCTATCTGATTCCTCTCTCTCTGGTATCTCCCCTCTGTTCATGTCAAGATGTTTGTCAATAGCTGTTCTTTGAATAAAAATGAAAGCCAATTTTATAGAAATTTTGTGCAGGGATTGTAGAGTTGTTGAATGTAAGTTCAACTTGAACCATATGCTTCTTGCATTAATACTAATTCCATCTTGATACTGTTAAGTTCCAGTTTTCTTCCTCGAGGAATTTTGTATCTCTGCGGCAGATTTTTGGTTCTGGTAAAGTAATTGATAGTATTTGCGCATGTTATATTACTCAGAGCGTCAGAGTTGCATCAATAATTTATTTTAATGCATCGGCTTTTGTACAGCAATTTCTTGCAATTTTAGTGGCCTGCATGGGAGCATTGTTATAATTTACAATCACATCGTTGTTCAGGTTAGCCATATGCTGCAAGTTGTGGCTTGGTTCAGATCTCTATAAAAATGGGTGTAGCCTTAATTTTCTTTTCTTGGGAATTATGCATTTTTTTATTACCACGAATCTATGTGGATGCAAATCTTCTGATGATGTGAAAGCTTATTTGCTTCAGTAAAAAATTGTGTTGATTGTAAAATTTACATAAAATAAGAAAAATAAGAACTTGATGTCCTTGAAGATATGGCCCCTCATGGAGTAATGTACAATTGCATAAGGATTCATATACCTTTTCCAAAACTTCATGACGACCCTTGACTAGTTCAGTTGTTCTATATTGCTTCCAACAACTTCAGGTTCAATTACATGCCTCCTTCTGGCACAAGAGATCCATGTGAGCCCGTGTAGCGTGTACAATGCTCTGAAACTTCTCCAAGAAATTATTGCTTGTTGGAGATATTCTTCAAATGTTTAGCCTTCTTTCCTGCATATGCTGCCATTCTGATTGTTCAACGACATTATTTTTTGCAGGTTTACCAACAAGTGATGACGATATCACAACTCAAAATCTCATGCAAATCATCGCTGAAAGTCGTCCAAGTGGCAAAGGCAATGCTGAACCTGTAAATACCGAGCACAATCAAGAAAATGATGAAATCCCATTGGATGCAGCAGACTGCGTCTTAAAATTAAAATCAGTTTTCAAGTGCAGGCTATGCCCTAGGATCGTGTGCTTGTCAGAGGAGACTCTAAAGGCCCATCTCACCTCCAAGGTAATTATTCACTTGTGTTTTTATTTTCTATGCAATGTTTGATAATATTTATCCTTAATGTATTTAATTTTTATATATATGTGTTGGCCTCCCTTAACATTCTATAAGTGTACATGTATCCAAAGTATACATTGAGAATACTGTATTCTCCTGCCCATGATTGACTAGCAAAGATAAAATTTAAATGGCTAAAACCCCCTTCTGTGCTTTTTATCCGATATAATCCTTTTGCTTCTTGGAATATTTGGCTTCTTAAAGGTGTGCTTGTGTGTGTGTGATTTTGTTTCTCTTTTGACATTTTAGGATTTTTCTGAAATTAGATTCCCAAGTTTTGTCAGGTCTACTTATATTGCATCCAAGGTGATTGGGCATAAATAAGCAACAATATACGTGTTCCTCTGTTTCATATTCATGAATATAATGAACTAATATCTGACTGTTGTGCTTTAATTGTTTTAACCCTAGAATTTTTACTTGAAACACTGAGTTGGAGAGATATACGTCTCTTCATTTAAGTAGCAGATTGTTGAGTGATATTCAAGTGAATAGTTTCTGTCAAATAAAAGCTCTAAAGCCTATAGTGGCTGCAATTTCATGTCTTGCTTCTCTATTCTATTAAAGTATCTAGCATTTGTTTGACTCGTTCACGTGCTCAAAATAACTTCTCTTACAGAAACTTTGTTTCGTGTCCTTCACAGAGACATGCCCGTTCTGAAAAATTACTAAGAGAAGGCAGGCTCAAGCTTATGCTCAACAGCGATGGGCAGATTGAGGGAGAGGCTCATTCTGAGATGCAGGATGCAACTGCAGTATCAGGAGAGGTATGTTATCCTGCTTCTCAGAGCTCACTAAAATGCTAAATGGATAGGTTTCATGTTAAACTACTTGACCTGATTAAATTTGTTTCTTCATGACACGGTAGGAGAAGCCGACCAAGTTGAAGAAGAAAGCGAAAGGAGAATGGAAACAGAAGAAAAGATCAAGGAAGGTAACATGCATCTTGCTACCTTCTCAAGCTGATATTTAGTTATGAAAGCTATATGCCAAATAGGGCTTAACCTTTTGGGAACTGCAGAAGGAAGCGTCAAGGTTGGAGAGAGGAAGTTCGAGAGAGTACCAAGGAAAGAAGAAACGGAAAAATGACAGTTGAAGAAAACAATATTCTGTTGCTTATTGTCTTCAAGGCAAGAATGAAGATCCAAAATGTGGCTAGATATCAATGAATACGAACTTATAAGCAAGTTGACGGTCTGTTTGCACCAGTCAGACATTTTTCCAATTTTGGCTAAACCACATGGTGGGGAAAAAAAACACAGGAAAAAGGAAAACAGTTTTCTTACATGTATTTTTTGTTAGTTTCCTTGGGCGAACAAGTTATGATCCTTCCAAACTAGCTAAATGATTCGCATGTAACATTTTACCGTGTGATTCATGCACTATGAAACTTATTTGAATAACATTTGATTTAAGCTGAGTTTATTGTTCGATTATAATCAAATCTTCTAATTTCAAGGATATTGTGCAAACCACACATGCCCAAACTAACGAATAGATTTTAATGGCCTTGTAAACCAAGGTGAAAATTTTACTGCCACAACATAGAATTCTTCCCCCAATTGATGATATACAGACTATAGCATCAGTTTTTCATGATGTCATCATAGAGTTCGTGATCCATGGCAGTTGCCAAAAGTATTTTCTGCAGCACCAACACAAAAAGGCCTAATTTGGAACGGCCGACTACAGTATTATGGCTTCATCAAGTTGGGAGCCAAAAAAACCGTTTTCATCATAAAGAAGACAACCCTAAGTTGATAGCGCCGCATGCTTTCGTGGCCAACAATGCCTAGAAAATTTAGTCAAAAGAATTACGGTTCTCCCTCATTATTGGGCGAAGGCAGTTGTTCTTCATCAGTAGCACTCTCAGGTTGAGGGCCTTGGTCTCCACTTTCATTGTTTTCGGGGTAAAAATTAATGGGAAATTTAGTAACCCTAGGTTTGTCAGTTAATATGTTCCTTTGGATCCTATCAATCAAGATCTTTTGCGGAGGCTCTTCTCTCAGCTGTTCAGCATCATAATCATTGTTGACATAGTAGCCCACCCGAACAAATTCCTGACCCATATAAGAACAGGTCAAGAGAAGCACTGTCACTCCAATTATGTCTTCTTCACGGATCTTTGAAGGATCTGGAGCATCTGCCTGTTATCAATCCCACAAAATGTAAAATTCCAACAAGTATATAAAATAATGGTGAACTGCAAAATCATTTTTCAACAGAACTTGCTTTACCTGCAGAACAAAACGATAATTTCCCACATTGACTGGTCCAACAAGAACACTTTCTAATAGCTGGTCATAAGTTTCATCCTCAGCAGATCCAACATAGATGAGTTTCCATTCCAAATCTGCACATGCAGTTCAACAATTACAAACTGGGAAAAATATTGTATTTTAATTTTGTCCAACCAAAGTGAGATTATAAAGCAGACCCATCTGTGTCAAGGTAAAAGTAAAAAAGAGTATTCATGGAAATGAACATAAATAGATTAACTACATTAAAAACGATAGAGAGAAGATGGTGCTAAAGATGATATTGAACTGTGCAGTCTTGGCCCCTAGTTTATGGTAAAAGCTCAAATCATAAACAAACAAGTTTGCACTTGGCTAGGGCTATTGCTATTACAAGACACTACAACCAGAACAGACATGAACACAAAAATGGCTCCCCACCCATACCCAAGAGCTCGCGTGCGCACACATACAGAGGGTTTCTCGCTTTTGATTCCAAGAGACTACAGTCTTATCGTTTCCAAGCATGCCAGTCAATGGTTTCAATTCTCTCTCCAAACAATCCCCAAAAACCTACTGAGGTCAAAGTAAAAGAAAGGAATAAAATATATCTCCCATGTTAGTAAACTTTGCTACCAACAATGGACAAAGTTAACACGAATAATGCAGACATCCTTTAGACTTATAAATGCTATTATTAACCCTCAAAACCATGATTTTTTCCTTTATTAATTTTTCTTAATAGGTCTACATATTAGTTACAGTTATTTGTTAATATAGTAAACTCCCGGTCGAATTAATTTTTATTAATGCTGTTGTTTAGTTTTTCTGGTCATGTCAGAGACCTTTCAGTAAGACGAGCATCCCTTGATGGAAGGAAATGCTAATTATTTTGTAATATTATCTAAAAAATCATATAGTTTATCGGAGCATGATTTGTCCAATCCGTGTATTTAATGCACCAAACTTGTATGCACACGTGTAATATAGAGACTAGTTAACTTATGCACATACATTAATATAACACTGCAAGACAAAACAACAGGATTCTAATCTCAATAACAATCTGTGGTTTGCAGTCTAGCACTTTCTCAAACCACACTTTTGTAAACATCTTTCCAAATTTATGCAAGAGAAAAGAGCATTATGTCAAAAATAAAATTCACGAAGTACTGACTAGTGACAATGGCTCACTCGAGCACAAATTCCACATCACATGAGCACATAAAAAATATCTAACTAGAAACCTTAGAGATAGTTCTCCTGATTAATCGCTTGGTCCTCAAAGCCCTTCAAAAGATTTATCAATCTATCTTATACATTCAAAAGGTCCTGAAACTAACCCTGGGGGTTAGATTAGTGGTCAAACCTTAGGTTTGCTCCCAATGGTCACCAATTCGAATCCCCTCGGACCCACTGAAATGAGTACCAGGTTGTATACTTTAGGGACCCGTGGAATTAGTCGAGGTGCACGTAAGTTGGCTTGGACACCCAAGGAAAAAAAAAAAAAGGGGGAAATAAATGGCCCTAAAACTAGGTGTAGTACTCTGAACCACAGAGTTTTTCTTTTCATGCATGAAAAATTCAAAAGGCATATTAAATAAATTTTCTCACACCCCAATTATGGAATTCCAGAGACCAATGTCAATCGTTGAATCCAATGAACCACAATCGATCTTCAAGAACGAGAAATGATACATCTACCTGGAATCATACTACATATATAGCTAAACAAAAAGCAATGTACACAGCATCAAGCACAAAGAAACAACCATATTTTCTGAATGCAAAGGGAAATCATGAAAATTGAATTAATATTTAACATCAAGAGCCCTAGAATACAGCAGTCCTCAAATTTATTACTTTAAAAACACAATTTAGTTTAGCTAAATTATAAGTCTTTTAATTAAAAGGAAATTAATTCATTAAGCACCAAACACAACACCAATTCATCTTCAAATGATAAAATAAAACTTCGAATTCAACTAAAAAATAGCAAATGAAACCAAAAATAAAACAATCGAAGGAAATATAAGATTAAATGAGAAGCGAGAAAGTACCGTCTTTAAGAGGAGAAACACATTCGTAGGAGATTTCGAACTGGAAGGGGCTCAAAAACGACGCCGGATTATCCAACACCGCGACGTTAGTAATGTTAACTGCACTCATTGTACCAGAATTGACGGTGGAGGATTTGAAGTACTCACGGAATTGCTAAGAAACGAATCAAATGAAATCGTATAAAACACGAAATTCATAGAAATAGGAAACTTTTAAAATTGAAAAGAAGAAGTTGAAGAAAAACAAAAAATTAAATCATTGGGACGAGAAATGTATAGCTTTTGGGGTTTTCGTTTTGCTTGTGTTCTGCACAGAGCGGGTTTTATACTGGTGACCGGCTACATTTGTAGCAACCGGGTATATCCGGTTCAGTAATTTGGCGGGAGTTTGTTTTGATTGGGCCTATTGACAAAGTTGTTCGGCCCATTTACGGACACTAATGACATTTTGATATGGGAAAAATTCACAGGTCAAGTATTAATTATGACCGATTCAAATTTTAGGTTTAAAGTTTCAAAATCCAAAACTAAGGTGATAAATAAATAGTTAAAAATGTTTTATTAATTAAATATATTAAGGTCACAATTATACATTTAATGATTACATATACGTTTTTATGAGTCACTACTTATTTATTTGTCACATATCAAATAAATTAGTCATACATTATTTCTCGATCATAAATTAAAAATTTTATAGGTCATAAATTATTTTATGATCAAAGATCAATAATTTCACAAGTCACAATTTATTTTATGGTCACAAACTATCAAATTAATTGATTACAAATTATATCTTAAGCACAACTTATTGAATTAGTTTGTCACAAGTTATTTTTCAATCACAAATCATCAAATTATTTGATTATAACTTGTCAAATTATCGTACGATTTCAAATTTAGTCCCAATCACATATTCTTTGGTCACAATTTAACCAATGTGCACAACACCCAAATATGATCGCACTCTTCCTTCCCACTCCATCAGGCCGCCATCATCACCACACCAACACCAACTCACCATCACCGCCAACAGCGCCACCACCACACCTACAACACCGCCACATACCACAACCACCACAAAAAACACCACCACAACAACCATCATCCACATAAACCACCATAACCATTGGAGAAATCAAACTCAAAAAAGAGAGAAAATTAAATAACAGATCTAAGCCCCTGGATCAACCATTGTCATATTAGAAGCAATGGTAATGGGCAACTGTCGTTCATCGAGCACCAGATCGCGATATCATGATGGCAGTAGCGTCTTTTCCTAGATTGTTTGTCCCTAAATCGTCTTTCCACTGATTGTACAAAATCAACTTTCTATTTTCTGTTTCTATGTGCAGCGATGATATTGATGCAGAGGTGGAAGTACACATGTGAGAACCTTTGCTGCATTGTTATCGTCATTATGTTCGAGACTCCGCTAGACATTTCAATGCATCAACAGTCGTAGTAGGTAGCATTGTGTGCCTAGTACGAAGGAACGTTGCTGCTGCGCCATGAATGGTAGTCGGCGTGGGTGTGCTGTCGGAGTGGTTGCACCGTGAAGAGTCACTGATGCAGGACGGAAGTAAAACAAAATATTTACCAATGTAAATCTTGAAAATAAGAAAATTGGAATTCTCCAAAAATGAAACTTGTATATTCTTCAATGATGACGGAAAACGTTCTAGAAGCCATTAAATAGGCATTACAAGAAACCCTAAAACATAGAAAAAATAAAACATCCAAAAATAGCGAAAATTCAAAACGGGAAATACGGAAATTAATTATTCGGAGGCCTAAACAAAAGAATTTGGCTAAAATTCCGAGATCTTGGGACTTTGTCCCTAGTCCAATTTCTCAGGCCGTTTCTAATCAACCTGCCAAATTTCAGCCCATTCCAACACCGTCGCGACAAATGACAAAATTGCCTCCGGTGCGATTTTTCTTTGTTAATTTTCTGTCCAACACTTCTTTAAACTCAAAAGCTAGTTGTCCTATATCAGTCACCAGGTGTGAACTATGGATTGAAAATGATTTATTGGGTAGGATTGGATGGGTTTGGTGGGTGGGGGATGTGTAAATATATTTACTTCTATAATATTGTTATTATATATTAATTACCTGATTTTTGCTTAATTAAACTTCTCACCTGATTTAAGAATACTGATCTTTAAAACTTTGGTGGAATGTAATTTCCACGTTTGATATTGAGGGAAGAGCGCAAGATATAATGATTTTTACCAGTTTTATTTTATGTATTTTGTTTTCATCACCTCTTTATAGTATTTTAGTATTCGGTGAGTCTCAACCTAATTTAATGAAAGTATATGGATCGAGTAAAACTCTTTATTTGGAAATTCCCAAGCCAGCAACTTAGCTCTTGATTATTTTCAGTAACTCAGATCCCCAGCGGGATCGAGTACTGTTTTTCATCTAAAATAATTTTGCCCATATTTG